GGAGGTTTCTTTGATATGTTTATTAACAGAATCCGGGCTGGCAGGTAGTTGAGCCTTGGTCTCAAAGCTTTCTTATTGGAGAGAATCTGATAATTAAATTCCTGTTTTAAAGTTCTTAAAACTGTAGCATCAGCAAGCACCATGCTAATCCTTTGTATCTAAAGTTATTGTAAAGTCACAACGTTTTAAAAGCAGAATCAGAGTTTTTTAGGTATTGGATGAACTGACCAAGGGCAGCCTCCTGGGAGGATCTGGCCGAGGCCTGTTTGCTGCTGTAGCAGCAGGTGGCAAGACTGCTATTTTGTTTGATAAAGATAAGTCAGGTGACCGAGAGGCCCCATAGGAATTGCATTTGTGTGGTATTCCAGAGATGAATGCTTACAAGCTCGTTTGAATGACGCCTTAGTTCTAATGTCTTTAAATAAAGTTCTTGTTTTGTTATGTTTTCGTTTTTTGAGGCAGGGTTTCTCCGTGTAGCCCTGGCTATCCTGGAACTCAATTTAGACCAGGCTGGTCTCAAACAGCACAGAGATCCGACTGCCTCTGCCTCCCCAGTGCTGGGATTAAAGGCGCGCGCCTGCCACCAACGCCGCGTTTAAGTGAAGTTCTTAACTGCTGTGCGTGCACTCAGATATAGGAAACAAAGAATTTCCCATAGCGAAGGTAAAGTGGAAAGGCAGGTACTGTGTTAGGCATGCTTAAGGGAAGCCACGCTCTTTCCTTGTGATGGAAGTTGAAATAAAACCAAACTGGACTCAATAAAGAGATAGAAACGAGGAAATAGAAGTTAGTGACCGAGGGGAGTTTTAGGATGTAGAACCTGGTTCCTGAGATCCACTACCAGTTCAACAGACCTGAGATGTCCAAATTAGCTCTCCAGAGGCAAAGGCAGACAGATCTATGTGACCTGGAGGCCAGCCAGGACTACATAATAAAACCCTATCTCAAAAAAGCCAATACGTATGTACGTACATACATACATGCATGCATACATACATACATACATGCATGCATAGTGAGGAAAGGGTCAGGAGAGATGGCTCAGTGTTTAAAAGCAGTTGCTGCGCTTGCAGAGGACTTGAATTTGGTTCCCAGTACCCATGGGGTAGTCAGGGGGAGTCAGTGACCACCTGCAACTCCAGCTCCAAGCAGCCCAACGCCGCCCTCTTCTGGACTTGACTGCTTGCACTAATGTACCCAGACCCATACTTTTTTTTTTTTTTTTTTGGTTTTTTCGAGACAGGGTTTCTCTGTGGCTTTGGAGGCTGTCCTGGAACTCGCTCTGTAGACCAGGCTGGCCTCGAACTCACAGAGATCTGCCTGCCTTTGCCTCCCGAGTGCTGGGATTAAAGGCGTGCGCCACCAACGCCCAGCCCCAGCCCCATACTTAGGCACACTCATATATACATACCTGAAAAATAAGAAAAAGGACATGAGGTGACAAAGTGTGGTGGCAGTCCTGTAAGCCCAGCACTAGAGAACCTAAACCAAGAGGATTGCTTTAAGTGACATTTTTTTTCCTTAAGATTTATTTATTTATTATGCATACAGTGTTCTGTCAGCATGTATGTCCACAGGCCAGAAGAGGGCACCAGATCTCATTATAGATGGTTGTGAGCCACCATGTGGTTGCTGGGAATTGAACTCAGGACCTCTGGAAGAGCAGTCAGTGCTCTTAGCCTCTGAGCCATCTCTCCAGCCCTTTAATGGCATTTTTCTTTTCTCAAAAAAAAAAAATCAAGCAAGCAAGCAAACAAATTTCAACAGAGCGTTGTCTCAGGTTGAATTCCTGAGTAGCTTAACTCTATTCATTCAGTTTGGAGATAGCTGGCCCTGGATGGCAGAGTGGCTGTTGGTTCTCCTTGGCTGCCTTTGATCGTATCTGCTCGGGTGTACAAGGAAAGATCTGATGCGAGGTCGCTTCCACTTTCCAGCTCCTCAGAGCAGGGCAGACATCAAAATAAAATGGGTGTTTCTAAACTGAGATTGCTGCAAAGATGACTCAACAGTTAAGAGCACCTGTTCTTGCCCGGTACCTAAGTTCAGTATCCTATCACCCCCCTCAGGCTAGTCACAACCACCTGCAACACCAGTTCTGTGGGAACGGGTTTTTCTGAGAAACGCTGTTTGAAGCTTGCCTTTACAAATCAAACTTTCACCCGACCTGTAACCAGTTTAATAATGTGCTTTGAGATGGTTTATGGCTACGTACTCATTCTGCGCGCACACACTGTATGTTCAACCTGTGAGAAATTGAGTCCTAAGGAGAGCATCACAGTCAAATCTTACTATGTTTTGGACTCCCAGTGTTATTCATCCCCACAAGCTCGAGCAAATGAACAGCTTTGGTTGCACCATGTTCCCTGTTTTTCCTTTGTGACTCTTTTTTATTTCATGGCCCTGACTCGGAACAATGTATATGAGATGCGGTGACCAGGCCACAGACTCATGCAGATACAAAGTGATCATATAACTAACCGTGGCTTTGTGTGCTGCTCTGAGCTAGGAGGGCCAGAAAGATATTCTACTCCCTTGTGAGACTCCTGTGAAAGATTAAGACAAAGTTTCCTCATTCCTCCTCATGACCATATTTTCACCGCTGCTCAGACAGAGGGTGCCTTTGTTCAGGACTACTTTTTAGATTAGAACACGAGAGACAAAAACTCTTCTGAATAACTCAGACCCACCCTTGGGTAAACGAAACCAAGAATTAATCTTCCTTTATGTGTATTGCCATGTATTCAAGGGCTGGATCTAATGCCCTCTTCCAATCTCAGAGGGCGCCTGCACACATGTGCCAATCACTCACACAGACCCACACACGCACAGAAAAATAAAACCTTAAGACAGAGGCCGGGCGTTGGTGGCACACGCCTTTAACCCCAGCACTTGGGAGGCAGAGGCAGGCGGATCTCTGTGAGTTCGAGGCCAGCCTGGTCTACAAAGTGAGTTCCAGGACAGCCTCCAAAGCTACAGAGAAACCCTGTCTCGAAAAACCAAAAATAAATAAATAAAAATAACCCCCCCCCAAAAAAAACCTTAAGACAGACCTAGAACACAGTGCTTAGTAATATTTTAACTAGTCCTTTTAATCCATATGTAACTGAATGACCTTAATAAATAAAGATCATCTCCACAGATTACCTAAGAGAAGTATTTAAATAGTATTTTATTTTGTTAGAGTGAGACCTTGTCCCGGCCAGCCCGAAAGTCCTTCATAGACTAGGCTTGCCTTGAACTTGATGATGTCTATTTCTCAAGGGCTGGGATCGCAGACATACCCCATCCTTCCCAGCTCAATAATAAGTATAATGCTACCTAACTAGAAAGTCACTTCCATTAGGTTCTTTTAACAAAGCGGAGAACAAGTGTCATATAACTATTAGAGGAGGTCAAAAGCATTTGTGGGACTTGGGAGATGGCTCAGTGGATAGCAGCACCAAGCCTGCCCAGTTTAATACAATGCCCCCAAACCCACAGAAAGCAGGCCGCGATGACTGGCATCTGCAATCCAGGCATTTCTGTACTGCCAGCCTGCTTGGAACACTCGGCACAGGAAAACCTCAACAAGGTGGGGAGGTGAGAACCAACTCCTAAGAGTTGTCCTCTAAATGCCACACGTGTGCCTTGGTGTTCGTGAGTGTGTATCCCGCCTCATAATTTCAATAAAAACCGATACAATTTAATAAGGTATTTACTGGATTTAGAATCAGTATTGTTGTGGTTTGGATGTGAAAAGCCCCCAAAAGCTCCCCAAGTTTGAACACTTGTCTCCAGCTGGCGGTGGTAATTTTGGGAGGCTGCAGAACCTTTGGAAGGTAGAGCTTTACGGACCCAAGTGGGTCACGGTAGAAAGGACTCCAGGATTCACACAGCAGGACGGAGTGCTGTCTCCTCTCTGTATCCTGACTGCAGACACAATGTAACCATCCCCTTCACTTCCTACCACCGTGTTCTCCCAGCCAAAACAACTCTCTCCTGGCTTAAAAATGTCTTAGCAAGTGTATCATTTCAGCAAAAACAAAAGTAATTAATATTAATAGAAGCATCTTTTTTTTCTGTTGGCTGGTTGCTTATGTTTGTGACAAAGAGGTAACACAACTCTTGCAGGTCGTTATATTGGACAGCAAATAGCTTACCTGCTGAGCCATCTTGCAAGTCCTGTTTGTTTTTTTACTTTTTGGACCCTTTCTCTCTTGTGGTTATAAGGAAAACTTTTGTCTCCCTGTGTCATAAGCCCTTCTCTGAAAACAGCCTAATCTTTCGATAACTACAGGGTATGAGTGTAAATTTTATCCCTGTGCAGATGGTTGATAACACTACTGATTACATAAGGGGTAGTGGAAAGGGAAACATGATCTCAGACCACCTTTTACCACCTCAAGCACATCAGCCCACCTGAGATCCACACTAGGACCATTCACTAGAGAGATGATTGGCTTAACCTTTAAAAGTGATGGTACATCCAGCGTGGCTGGTACTTTTTTATTTAATGATTAATGACAGAAATTAAGATTTTTTTTCAATCTACTCTCAAACTTCCTAGGGATCACACTGTAGGTTTACCTACCCCACTTTCCCATTTCCCTTATTTGGTGTGTATGAATTCCCGTGGTATTAGAGTGTGTGTTCAGGGAATGTTATTAATTATTAGTAGTTATTATTAATTGGGTATTAATAATTTAGCAATGTTAGTATAATAATGGATGTTATTGATTCAAACCTATCATAAGATTTCTTTTAAGTATTTAAAAAGTTCCATGTGTGTATTTATTTATGAGGACGTGTGTGTGTGTGTGTGTGTGTGTGTGTGTGTGTGTGTGTGTGCTGAGGTCGGTAGGAATATATTCTCTCCTTTTAACCACTTGGGTCTCAGGAACCAAACTGAAGTCTCCCGGCTTACTGGCAGACACTCTACCCACTGGGCTATCTCTGGCCCCAGGGAGATACTTATTTCTAGGATAGGAGTACTGGCCCTCAACAAGGCAAAAGACACCTTGTGCGTATAAGATACTTTATTGGTGAGAATTAAGCCTAGCTGAGCATGTAGTCACTTCCTTCTCAGCACTTGGGAGACAGAGGTAGGAAGACCAGAAGTTTAAGGTTATCCTCAGCCCCATCGTGGGTCCCAGGTCAGCCTAGGGTACACGAGACCTAGTCTCAAGAAAGTAAGATAAAATAAAAAAATAAAAGAAAGAAAATAAAGTGCACATACATCACCCACAAATTAGTGACAAAAGTTTTTTTTAGAAGAAAATGACAGAAGAAAAATGGATAGGAGCTGTGATTTTAAAAAAAATATTTGTGTGTGTGTGATTTATACAAGCCTCTAGGACTTCCCAGAGCTACATTAGGAATCTCCCAACCAAGGTTAATAACATTGACTATTTTTTTTATAACATTAACGTAGCCTTTGAGGGTAGAGGCTCACACATGCCACAGTGCTCACGTCGAGGCCAGGGGACAGCTTGAGGGAGTTGCGGGGCAGTAACTCGGGTCGTCATCAGTCTTCACCCACTGAGTCAATCTCTCTTGCTGCCTGGCTGCCTTTCTTCAGCACCCGCTATTGCCTGCCCCCGCGCTGAGAGCTCTCCAGACGATTTTACCACGTAACCACCGCTTCACCTTTCTATGGGGAAGGAGGTCCTTATCACCATAATTTTGTAGATAAAGCTCAGGATCTTTTGAGTTTATTGATTCATGATCCGCACCACAGTTAAGTGAGGTAGCCTGGCTGGGCCCTAAGGCTTCCTGACCGAAAGAATTCAGGCCACTCAGACGGTATATGTGAGAGAGAGCTGTGGAGCGAACAAGGCAGCCTGGCTCCCACACACACAAAGTACTCTGGGTTGCTCTCCACCCGCCCCTACCCCCTCTTACCTCCCCAACCCCCCACCCCTTCTCCATCTCTCGTTTCCTCCGCTCCTCCCCTTTCCCAGTCACTCATCTGTGGCTTCTCTTTTTTTCAGGGTTAGAGCCCTTTGATCAAACGTGACACCTTGTGGTTAAAACACAAGTTTCACTCTGTGATGTTCCTAGCACCTCTCTGATGGAACTGGATACTTTTACTTCTCCCCGCTCATTTTTCTTTTCCTTTCGGTTTGGTGATGCCCAGGTGGGTAGCCACAGAATGCCAGGTGTTGGACAAGAGCGGATATTGTGAAATCAAGAGTGAACATTTTTTTTTTTGGTAGACCAGGCTGGTCTCTAACTCACAGGGATCCGCCTGGCTCTGCCTCCTGAGTGCTGGGATCAAAGGCGTGCGCCACCACCGCCTGGCCATCATATGTATTCTTATTCTTATATTTGTATTCTCCTGATCCTCTCTTCCTGTGTCCACCTTCCAGACGATGGACGTACAGGTATATGCCAACATTCCTAGTTTCATGCGGTGCTGGGGACTGTGCTTGCTAGTATGCTAGTCAAGCGCTCTACTAGCTAAGCTAAAGCTACAATGCCATCTTTAAAATTATTTTATTGTATGTATACCGGCGTTGGTTTTTATTTTTTTTCATTTATTTTCATCTTATGTATATGGGTATTTTGCCTGCATGTGTCTATGGATCTGTGTTCTACACTCATGCAGGACTGAGGATGCCAGATGTCCCTGGCTGGAACTGGAGTTACAGACAGTTGTGGGAATCGAACCCACGCCCTCTGAAAGTGCTGCCAATGATCTTAACCACTGAACTCTCTCTCCAGCTGCTGTACATATGTGTTTCCCCTGAATGTATAGCTGTACTGTATGTGTGTCCGGTGCCCATAGAAACCAAAAAAGAGTATCAGACCCCCTGGAATTGAAGTTACAGATGGTGGTAAGCTTCCATGTGGGTGCTGGGAATGGAACCAGGGTCCTCGGTAAGACTAGTGAGTACTCGGGGCTGGAGAGATGGCTCAGAGGTTAAGAACATTGGCTGTTCTTCTATAGATCCTGAGTTCAATTCCCAGCAACCACATGGTGGTTCACAACCATCTGTAATGAGATCTGCTGCCCTCTTCTGGCATGTAGGCATACATACATACAGACAGAACACTGTGTACATAAAAAATACATAAATAAATCTTAAAAAAAGACTAGTGAGTACTCTTTACCACTGAGCCATCTCTCCTGCCTCCATTTTTTTATGTTGTTGTTTTGTTTTGAGACGGTGCCTCACGGAACATAACCCAGACTGGCCATGGCGTTTCCATTTGTTTTTGCAAGCCTCTTGCTTTACCCTCTCTGTTAACCCTAACCTAGTCAGGCTGTATGACAATAGCATTTCCAGAGCTTGGAAATAGTGGAGAAAGTCAAATATCACCTTAATTAGGGTGGAGGTTAATTGGAGATTGCAGTTAGACAGATGTATAGACTGATACTCACAGGCAGCCCTAGGTAGTCCTGGGGTCACTGGGAAAACTCCAGGATTGATGGTACCAAAGAGCCACTCAGGGAATGTGGCTTCTCTGTAAAGAAAACTAAATATCGATTATTTTATTTATTTTTTTAGCTTAAGAAAATCCAGTGCCCTTTACTCAAGGATACAAACATATATACCCATAATTAAAGATGTAAGTAACTAGATTTGATGATATATTGTCAATATCATAATGATGATCAAAAGGCAACAGGCAGAAATGATCCTTTTAGAAGTTATTCACTATAGAAACTACAAATAAATACTTCCTTCTGTCATTTTATACTACATATTTACACAAAAGACTTTCTCAGTGCGATCATGTATTAATTGCCCCGATCGGGCAATTAATTCTGTCTCCTCTAGAGAAGGCGTGGGAGGAACAGGATGTGAGGTGAGAACCAGACTCCTGGAAGCAGCTAATGGCCTGACCCAAGTAGGCTGGAGAGATGGCTCAGAGGTTAAGAGCACTGGCTGCTCTTCCAGAGGTCCTGAGTTCAATTCCCAGCAACCACATGGTGGCTCACAACCATCTATAATGAGATCTGGTGCCCTCTTCTGATGTGTAGATGTACATGGATGCAGGATGTTGTATTCATAATAAATAAAATCGTTAAAAAAAAAAACACCAAGTATGGTGATCTTCCTGTCACGCATTAATCATGTGTTAATGGATACTAGAAGTACCTGTCACGGAAGAGCTGAACAAGGCAGACAAAAATCTCTCATGATGAATCATCAATCTCTAATCAATCAATCAATCAAACTAACATCTTTGTGGAGTCCAACATTCTGGAACGTACAAACAGACCCTTGCTTCCACCAACCTGAAAGCTAAGAAGGTCATCAGGTAGACTCTGAGGCCCCAGGGGACGTCTCTCCTCTTTGCTGAAACCTGCTCACCTGATATTTCCACCACGGTGTCTGAGAAGTGTCTTGATTCAAGATTTGCTTTGTTCTGTTAGTGTAAAAACAACTTCATGGAACTGTTACCATATGTTTCAACATGTCATTTGTAGCAATTTGAATTTGTGTTCATGGGTCATAGTCACTCTCTCCCTGGCCCCCTCTCCCAGAGACAGGGGTTTTAAGTGTAGCCTTGGCTGTCCCTCGCTCTGTAGACCATGCTGGCCTGGAACTCAGAGATTCACCTACCTCTGCCTCCAGAGTGCTGGAATCAAAGACGTGCACCACCACTGTCTGGTGATGGCCACTCATTTTTAGCTACAGAATTAGCAATTCTCTCTGCTTCTCTCTTCTGTCTTTGTCTCTCTGCTTCTCTAGTTCTTGACTTTTTAGACAGGGTGTGATTATATAGACCAGGATGGTCTTGAACTCATAGAAACCTGCCTGTCTGTGCCTCCAAAGTGCTAAGATTAAAGGCATCGGCATTATGCCTAGTATAAATTATCTATTATTTCCTTTAAGATAAGAACTGTGGTTTGGTTTTAGTTTCATTTTGTTTTTGTTTTCTTCTCATATTATATGTTTTACATGATAATATGAACCATTTTCATTTAGAAAACAAAGGGCATGAGAATTGCTAAGATCACACAATCACATAGCAAATAACAAAATTAGGTCTTGAAGCCAGGCTTGGTGGTACATGTCTTCAATCTAGCACTGGGAGACAGAGGTAGGCAGGCCTCTGGAAGTTCAAGGCTAGCTTGATCTACAGAGTGAGTTCCAGGACAGGCTCCAAAGCTACAGAGTACCTACTGTCACAACAAATGCCATTGAACAGAGACAAGAAATGGATTGCCTTAAAAAAAAGTTTTTAAAAACATTTGTTCTGTGACTTGATCTTGTGTTTCTTCAAGTGTAAAAAATTAAAATCAGCTGGGCATTGGTGGCTCATGCCTTTAATCCCAGCACTCAGGAGGTAGAGGCAGGCAGATCTCTGTGAGTTCGAAGCCATCCTGGTCTACAGAGTGAGTTCTAAGACAGACTCTAAAGTAATACAGAGAAACCCTGTCTTGAAAAACAAACAAACAAACAAAAAACCTAAAAATCAATTTCTTCACAAAAAGAAAAAATCAAGCAAAAACCTTTATTCCTCTCTCTCTCTCTCTCTCTCTCTCTCTCTCTCTCTCTCTCTCTCTCTCTCTCTCTCTCTCTCTCTCTGTGTGTGTGTGTGTGTGTGTGTGTGTGTGTGTGTGTGTCTTCTCTCTCCACCTTGTAGATCCTAGGGACCAAACTCAGGTGGTCAGGCTTGGCAGGAAGTGTCTTCCAGGCCTGGGAAATGAATTTCTTAGCTGAGTTATATTCAGAGAGCCTACAGTCTAGGAACGGAACGCAGTGGATAGTCACCCTACAAACCATGCCTTACAATCTTACCTCCAGACAGCAGGCTTTTCCAGGGCAGTCCCTTCTAGTCGGGTGGTCAGCTTTGTCCCTGATGTTGGTTCCTGTCTCACTGTCTCCTCAGACTGTTGTAATTTTAAAAAGCAGCACATGAGAGAAAGATGCCATTCAACAGAGCTTGGGTGGAAGGGGTTTTTATTGGGGGAAAGTGGATGGGGGCACAGTGGAGGGGAGAAGGGAGACCGGCCTCTGGGGACAAGAACAGCAGAAGAGAAGACAAAGACAGAAGGGAGAAGGGAGGGAGGGGGGAGGCAGAAGGAGAGACAGAGAGACAGGCAGAGAAGCAGAGAGAGAGAGAGAAAAAGATAGGACGTGGGCAGGGTCCTTTTAAAAGGGAACACAGTGAGTAGGATCAGGTGGTGCCCTTAGTGGCTGCAGCTGAGGGCGTGTCCTGTCAGAACCCCAAGGACAGACCAGTACAGTTGTCTGGATACTAACACCTACGCTCCACTCTTAATGAGACAAGGATGAGTCTTGGCAACGTCTGCCATCATCAACCTTGTGCTCCTCCAGGGACACCTAGACTGGAGAGTTAACGCAAGCAAGCCATCGGCAGTGTGTATGATAAGCTTTCAAAACATTAGCACTGGGCCAGGCATTGGTGGCTCACGCCTTTAATCCCAGTACTCGGGAGGCAGAGGCAGGCGGATCTCTGTGAGACTGAGGCCAGCCTGGTCTACAGAGCGAGTTCCAGGATAGCCTCCAAACAATACAGAGAAACCCTGCCTCGAAAAACAAAAAAAAAACAAAACAACAACAAAAAAATTACCATGCTCATGGTGTCTCTTCACAGCAATAGAAACCCTAACTAAAAAAGATATCATGTATCATGTATATATATATAAGCCTCTAGATTTTCATTACAATCCTTGTTTGTTTGTTTGTTGTTGTTTTGTGACAAAGCCTTGTATAGGCCAGGCTGACTGAACTCCTTTCCTTACAGATGCCCCAGATGTAAACGTAGTCTAAATTGATGCTCTAAATTACCCAATTTAGCGTCTACTCTCGCCACCCAATCTATTTTCTTCAGTTTGTATGCAGATTCTACCAAGCAGGTGGTTTGTAGCTTGCAAATGACAACATCTACCAGCTGTTAAAATTACACATGACTCTAATTGAAAGGCCTAATTGCTCTCAGGGTGCTTAATTTACAGCTCATAACACCCCCCACAGATGGCAACAGTGAGGGTTTCTTTGGATTAACTTTGGAGAGAAGTAAAAGCTTAGGTTCACAATTGGTCCCCTAACATACTTGTGCTTGAATCTTGAGCATCAGGGTGGGACCTGCCCTGTATTTGGTGTCTAGGTTAACCAGCAGTGAGAAATGACGGAGTGGTTACAAACTATCTCAGTGTCCTCAGGATATGACAAAGAAGATGAGTACTGTTAATCCCGCCTTTTGAGAATAAGACCACTATCACAATTTTGAGCCACATTTGAAGCAAGATTTAAATACTGGCCAGGATGATGGGCTCTTGTTGGGGAAGTCCTGTTATTTGCCTGTGCATTTGTCAATAAAGTACTGTCTGGCCAATAGAAAACCTAGATAGGAGGGACTAGGAGTCGAGGAGGATTCTGGGAAGGGGAAAGACAAGAGAGTCGAGATGTAACGCCATGAGGTAGGACCCCGGAACTATTCTCCGGTAAGAGACATACTTAGATTAACAATTATGGGGTAATTACTTAAAGCAGAGCTAGCCAGTAAGAGACAAGCAAGGCCAACAGCTTCATAATTAATATAGCCTCCTGTGTGTTTATTTGGGACTCATGCGGATCTAGAAACAGGCTCGCGTGGCAGAGCCCAGGCGGCTGGTGGGGGATAAACCAAAGCGGCTAGCAAGGAAAAGCTTCACTTAACAGGCTCTGGCCAGATCCATTTCGGGGTTCCCAGAAAATGGCCATGTGTCGTGTCACATTTTGCAGAGACTTATACAGGCAAACCCATAGTCTACCTATCTCCCACCAGGTCAGGTCCACTCAGGGACAAGGATACATCCTGATGTATTTCCTGCCAGGTACCCCTGGCCTCCATCCAATCAGGGGCAAGCATATATCCTGACTTTTTTTAAATTTGGAAATAATCTTATTTTACATATCGATCCCCCCATTCCCTCTCCCTCACATCCTCCCATGCCTCCCTAGCCCCCCAAACCCACCCCCCCATTCTCCAAGGATAGTGAGGCCTTCCATGGGGGATCATCAAAGTCTGTCACATCATTTGGGGGAGGGCCTAGGTCCTCTTTCTCATATTTGGGCTGCAATAGTATTCCTCCATAGGGAATGGGCTCCCAAAGTTCATTTGTGCTCTAGGATAAACACTGGCTCCACTGTTAGAGGTCCCACAGGCTGCCCTGGCCTCCTAGCTGGCACCCACATTCAGAGGGCTTGGTTCGTCCAGTACTGGTTCCCCAGACTAGGGTCTCTGTGCTCCCATTGGGTCAGGTCAACTGTTTCTGTGGGTTTCTCCAGCATGGCCTTGTCTCTTTGCTCATCCCTCTTCCCTCTCTACATCTGGATTCCAGTTCAGTGTTTAGCTATGAGTGCCTACTTCTGCTTCGATCAGCTACTGGATGAATGAAGGATCTAGGATTGCAACCAAGGTAGTCATCAATCTCATTATAGGGAAGGACATCAAAGGCAGCCTCTCCACTACTGCCTAGATTCTTAGTTAGGGTCATCCCTGTGGATTCCTGAATATTTCCCAGACCTCTCTCTAAACCTATACTGGCTCTCTCTACTAAGGTATCTCCTTTCTTGCTCTCCTCTATTCCTCCCCTGATGCAATCTTCCTGATCTCTCTTGTTCTCCTTTCCTCTCCTCTTCTCCCCTTCTCTTTTTAATACCTCCCTCCCCCCCCCAATTTGCTCAGGGGTTCTTGTCTCTTTCCCCTTCTTCGGGGGAACATGTGTTTTTCTCTTGGGGTCCTCCTTGTTTCCTAGTTTTTCTGGTGGTGTGGATTGTAAGCTGGTAATCATTTGCTCTATGTCTAATATTCATATGAGTCAGTGCATACCCTGCTTGTCTTTTTGTGACTGGGTTACCTCACTCGGGATGTTTTCTTCCAGTTCCATCCATTTGCCTGAAAATTTCAAGATTTCACTTGTTTTTCCGCTGAACAGCCCTGTACAATAAAGGAACTTCCAAAGGCACCATCATCCCTGACTTCAAGGTCTTTTATAGAGCTATAGTCCTGAAAACAGCTTGGTATTGGCACAAAAATAGACAAGTAGACCAATGGAATCAAATCGAAGACCCTGATATTAACCCACATACCTACCAACACCTGATTTTTGATTTTTAAAAAAGCTAAAGTTATACAATGGAAAAAAGAAAGCATCTTCAACAAATGGTGTTGGTGTAACTGGATGCTGCCGTGTAGAAGACTGCAGATAGATCCATATCTATCTCCATGCACAAAACTTAAATCCAAATGGATCAAAGACCTCAACATAAATCCAGCCACATTGAACCTCTTAGAAGAGAAAGAGGAACCAAAAAAAAAAAAAAAAAAGAAGAGAAAGAGGGAAGTACCCTTGAACGAATTGGTACAGGAGACTGTTTCCTGAACATAACACTAAGAGCACAGATACTGAGATCGACAATTAATAAATGGGACCTCCTGAAACTGAGAAGCTCCTGTAAAACAAAGGACACAGTCAATAAGACAAAACGGCAGCCCACAGAATGGGAAAAGATCTTCACCAACCCCACATCTGACAGAGGGTTGATTTCTAAAATATACAATGAACTCAAGAAACTAGCCACCAAAACTATAATCTAATTAAAAAGTGGGGTACAGAACTAAATAGAGAATTCTCAATAGAGGAATCTAAAATGACTGACAGACACTTGAGAAAGTGTTCAACATCCTTAGCCATGAGGGAAATACAACTCAAAAACAACTCTGAGATACCATCTTACACCAGCCAGAATGGCTAAAATCAGAAACACCAATGACAGTCTATGCTGAAGAAGATGTGGAGAGAGAGGAACACTCCTCCACAGCTGGTGGGAATGCAAACTTGTTCGACCAATTTGGAAGTTAGTATGGCGGTTTGTCAGGAAAACGGGAATCAGTCTACCTCAAGACCCAGCAATTCCACTCTTGGGCATACACCCAAAGAATGCACATTCAAACAGCAAGGACATATGTTCCACTATGTTCATAGCAGTATGTTTGTAATAGCCAGAACCTGGAAGCAACTTAGATACCCCTCAACCCAAGAAGGAATGGAGAAAATGCGGTACGTTTATCCTGACATATTTCTGCCTATGTACCTCCTGCCTATATGTGATCAAGCACATTGGTGCAGTTGGGTCAAACAAACTTGTTTAAGAGGAGAGAGAGAGAGCATGTGGCATGATATCTTTGTATGAATAACAGCCTCTAGCGTTTCAGGAAGTATCTGTCCTTGGGCAGGGGGCTTACTGATCAGAAGCATTTTTGTTTTTTGGATCTCTTAGGCACGGTAATTAAAACTTAAAACATAGCTTCGGCTCTCACAATACCAACCCCATCAGCTGCAGAGTGAGACACTAGCCCTGTGTTGTAGCTGCTATCATCCAGGTCTCTGCGCAGGTGCAAAAAGTTCCTTTAAGAGACAAGCTCTGGAGCCTGGCGGTGGTGGAACACGCTTTTAATCCCAGCACTCAAGCGGATCTCTGTGAGTTTGAGACCAGTCTGGTCTATAAAGCTACAGTACAGAAAAACCCTGTATCGAAAAACAAACTAACAAAGTGACAAGCGCTGCCCACTCTTACTCTCTCTCTTTCTGCTGTTCTCTCCCTCCTTCCCTCCCTCCCTCCCTCCCTCCCTCCCTCCCTCTCTCCCTCTCTCTCTCTTTCTCTCTCTCTTTCTCTCTCTCTCTTTCTCTCCCCCCCATTTCCCTTTCCCACTCCCCTCCCTTCCCCCAATAACTCTTCCCAAGTAACCTTTCTGACTGACTGGTGTGTTTGCCCTGCCATGGGATCTGCTAAGATACCCCTCAAGTCACACATCATATCAGGGTCTCATGCAATATACCTTGGTATGTAGCTGAGGATGAACTTGGATTTCAAACTCTCCTGCAGTGAGCTCTCTCTCTCTCTCCCTCCCTCCCCCCCTCTCTTCCCCATCCCTCCCTCCATCTTTCTTTCTTTCTCCCTTCCTTCCTTTCTTTTATGCAT